ACACACGACTTTTACCTCATGCTAAAATGCTGCTTGTTCCAATGACTTTTTTCCGGCTCTGGCGGGTAGATTATACCTCTGAGGAAAACGTTTTGACTGAGCAAATGTGATTTTTGCTGCTTATTTCATAGTGAGAGGTCATGACACGCATTTTCTGCGGTTATTGTTGTTTTTGGTCGGCATGATTTGCCCTTTGATGCAAGAGCATTTCCTTTGACCTCTTTTGAAATGCAGTGCTCTTCATTGCCGCTAAATAAGGGTTTTAGGTTGTTTAATTTTCTCCTAAGTGCCTCCTGGATCCGAATAATCATAAGCGATTTTCTTTTAGTCCGTGAATGTGACGGTTTCTTACGATGTTTTGTCACGCGATAACTACCGCTTACCTGGCTTTGCGTTTCTCATTACCAGGTTTAGATTTCTGGTAACTGTCTTCAGCAAAGCACAAGAAATGAATATACATAAAAACGCTAATATAACTATTCACAACACGTTCATGAGATGTAAGAAAGTTGCTATTTCGAAATGAAACGAAACCTGTGGACATTGATAAGTTCGGGGGCATTTTGACTTGTGTTTATGTTAAATCATGTCTTGTTTCGTAATGGGCACCTAAGTTACGAACAAACGTCTTGCTGTTTATCACATAAAGTTAACACTTCAGAGAAAAATCAAAATGAAATATTCTGGCTGATTAATTTCACGCTTTCAAAAAGATCAGTAAAGTCAATAAAGCTCTTGTTAGGTAGAGGGTGCCCGGCTTTGTATTCCTCAATAGAAAGGTTGAGCTTCTAGGCGTTAAAATAATTTTTCTGCGTAACGTCCTGCCTGTCTTAAATTTTTCAAAAGACGAAACATTCTTGAAAGAAAATTTAAGCAATCGACAAAGGAAGAAGTATACGGTTAATACCATACCTTTTCAGATTTATTCCATTTTTTTTTTCGCCTTGTATAAATTGACCTGAGATGTAGCGTCCTCCTTCCCTTTTTCTTTAAAAGGCGAGAGAAAAAAGTTTCTTTTTTATAATCAGTCCCATAAAATCCATTCCATTCCTCAAGTTTTCACGGGATCATTTGCGGTCGACTTTGGGGATCACTTGGGGTCGAGGATCATTTGCGGTCCATTTTGGGGATCATTTGCGGTCTCGGGATCATTTGCGGTTGGGGATCATTTGCGGTATTGTACAGTACCTTATCCACGATAGGTATTAATCATTCTGTTTTGATACCAGCACTACCGGACTAGCCCATGGTGTCGGGCCATTTACTGGCTCAATAATATCCATGCTTACAAGTTCCTCGACCTTTTTCTTCACCTCGTCAAGGACGCTGAACGGAGTGCGCCTGACTGGCTGAGCCACCGGGGGTGCATTGGGATTCACACGTAACTTGTCCCGATAGCCTTTTAACTTCCTCACATGTACACCATCAAACACTTCTTTGTAATCAGACATGATCGCTTCTTTGCACTACAGCGTATAAACTGGAACACCTGACTTCAACACTCCTAACTGCAGCGCTAGTTGCTTCTCCTTCACCATCAATGACACAAATTCAGCTAGAACTTCATTCCCAGCTACTTTCGTCGATGCTCAAAATGTCCCCAAAACTTTTAGCGGCTCATTGCTTCCTCACGCCTCTTGGCACACTTCGTGGATACACAAGCAATCTTCTGACGCTTTAGCTCACTCCATGGGTCTTTATAACATAACAAAAGTAAAGCGCGCGCTCTGATTGGTCGGTTAGCCATCTACCATTTGCCCGTGGGTGCACGCCAAAAAACTGAGCTGGCGCGGTAAAATTGAGGCAAATTCAGCAAATCTTCTCTCCTGTCAGTAAAGTGCACCGATGAAATGTACAAATGAAAAGTGGAAGTTGAAGAAAATACTCAGTTGCCGTTTTTTTAAAACAAAAAGTCAAAAGATCAAGCGACAAATTTACCTGGATGAATTTATCACTGTTTTTTTCGTGGCTAGGTTCGGCAGAAGAAAAACCGAATGAGCAAAGATTTAAGGTACATTTTGTGTGTTGTTATATCAATTAGCATTGTGTTATTGACTTTTTAGTCGAACTGATATTAAATTCAAGCAAATTTTTTAGGAACCACGCTCAGATTCCAGACAGCTTTGTTGTGTAGTTTTCATCGCATCGATTAAAAATTTTAGTTGAGTTACGGACACATTACGCTGGAATTGTAAAGCAAATTTTGTTTTCAATTAAATTTTTCCAAAAATGACTTCTCTGTTTATTATTTTATGTTCATTCATAACAGTAGCTCAAAGAACGGTCGTAAAACAAGCATCGCTTCAGCGCCGGCTGTGTTGACTTTCAGCTCGATTTCCCCGGACAAATTTCGATAAGAAGATAGTTAATTTCGTTTTAAAGTTAGTGTTACCTGAGTTAGCTAAAGGAAATACAGTCAATTTTTCTCATTTCTACTTTACGTTTATTGCAAGAGTCTTTTTTAGTTAGGGTCAACTACTGTTTTACAACAGTAATTTTCTGATTCTTAATAAATCTCGCAAAGCGAACTAAATTTTAGTTTTGTTTCTATCGAATATGACAACCATAAAATAATACCGAAAAGAAATCGTTTTGTGATGCTTCATCGAGTTCTCGGAGAACCCGGTAATCCTTCGGGCTCGAAGGCAAATTTTCTAATCAAGCGGGCTTTTGAATAGTCGCACAGTTCCTAGCTCACAAGCCAGTACATATTTTTTCGTTAACTAATAGATTCAATTTAATTTATTATGTTCAAAATTATTTAAAAAAGATCGCGTCCTGTTTTAGCAACAATACTATCGGCTGGCCAACGGAAGTTAAGTAAGATTAACCAACCACTAATAGTGAACCTTCCTGCTGGAAATACGGCTGTTTGATAAAGACTATTATCGTGTTGATACCGTAGGTTGCAAATTGTAAGCTAACTGCTGCGAGTAGATACTGGGTAGTACTACATCAAAATGTATATAAATCTATTATAGAGACAATAAGAAAAATGGTTCCATTTTCAATTCGGGGCTCTAATTTCAACCATTATCATATGTCTGAATAAGTAAATTCCGCTTTTGAAACCAAAAATTTGGCATCATTTTCAACTGGAATCATTTCCAAATGCAACCACCTCCCCCCAACCCAAAAATAATGTTGCTCTACGTTTATAAAACGTAACTGGGTCAACTTTTGGTTTTACAGCAGTAATTTTCTTCTTCTTTATAAAACTCGCTAAGCTCTTTCTGTCTGATATCACATTCAGCCCTTCTGACTATCCAGGTGAATATGTTTATTGGACGAGGCGAGATGTATCAATAGCATATTCCTTCAATGGATGCGCCACACCAACACACACACACACACACACACACACACACACACACACACACACACACACACACACACACACACACACACACACACACACACAGGGAGATTTGCAATCATAGTTTTGAAGAGAAAACACATCAATAGGTATAAAATTCAAGATAAACTGAACAAAAACCTCAAAGGGGATTCATCGTAACATCTTTTGAAGGACAGATTGCAAAAGTACAGTACGTAAGCTGTGAACACATCTTCATTTGATGGCTGCCATCGAGAAAAAGACACTGCGAACGGATCGAGAGAAAAAGTACCCAGGCCCCACACGGCACGAAAAACAAAGATCATCCTTCCATCTCGAAAAAAACCTTCGTCGAAGAATTGAGAGATGAAACCACATATAAAGTGCCCAGGTCCCACTCGGACGGTCACAAATAGTGTTGCTGCTCGCTAAGGCTCGCAGCAATAAATACCTCGAAACTTTCCTTTTTGAAGTTAACAATTTGCAGTTTCATGAAATAAATCAAAATGCAGCCTTCTGTAAACATTATAGAGCTTCGCATTAATTTGTTACCTTTCGACACCCAGAGCAAAAAATCTGTGTTTTATTACTTTGCACATTGGCTGCATCGCACTTACTCAATTTTTTTACTGCAGTTGTTTATTTGCTTGCGTGAGGTCGCCCATGTCATTGAAATAGTTAGTTTATTGAGCTATTTTGAAAAAATAGCTCATATGTCAGTGGTCTTAGCGTATGTATCTTTGTGGCTTTCTGCGTTCGGATATGTGTCGCAGGGGCAATAAGGTTGAAGGTACTATGAGCTGATGCTAGGATTCAATGACATTTTGCGATCTAAACATGACATTGCTAAAGCTCAAACAATGGCACTTTGAGACCGCCATTTTGGTTGTTCAATATTTTTTCGTCTTTTATAACGGCTAAAGGTGTTTACAAGCATAACATTTAAGGTCTGGGAGCCAGAATCCGCAGAGTCGCTTTAATTCACCAGCATCGCTAGATCCGCAATGATCATCTCTAAATGCCAGCATGAAATGTAACGTAAATGACCAGATAAGCAAAAGGCCCATGCGGTCACCCCACAGATCAGTATGACCTGATATCACCTCAGCACTGACGTGTGCCGACTACTGGACTTGTGAATAACCTCGGGGAATAACAATTCCCCAGCTGTGGCTTCCACTCAGTCGAAGTCAATGAACAAATTCAATACAATTGTTAATTTAGACCAGTAGACTAGTTTCTGTTTCAAGCTTATTACTGAGTACTGATAGAGGCCAAGAATAGGAAGATCATGTAAAAAAGATAAAGTTGGGAATGAAAAATAATCCAAAGTTTCTGACAAGAGTAAAAACTTCTTCTTTCAATTTGCTTCCCATACCTTTTTTTAAACAAATTACTGTACCCTCAAACAAGAATTCCAACGTTGCCCGTTATAGTCCAGTTATTTCCGTACCATCAGCATTGTTTATTTGTGTTTATAAAAAGGCATTGATTTACTTACTCAAGTACAACCGACGAATTTTATTAAGCTAGGATATCTCCCTTGCACTTTAATATATTTTAAGGTATGAATTCCTGCATAATATAAACATCAACTTTTTTCTTATTTAAATGTTTCCCTTAATAATACATTCAAATACGATTTTAATATTATCTTTTAGGTACATCATTATCAAAACCAAAACATACAAGTGCATCAAATATCTTGAAAGACACAATCGACAGGTCGCATTCTCAACTTGCAGTCAAACCTGTGGAATATGTAACGTCAAAAATATTGTCTTCAAAACCACAAGAGCCTAATAAAACCCTCTCCTTTGGTCAGAATGATACTGGTCGTATTGTTTCTTCCTTTGGAGTTCCATCTTTATCGACCAAAAGAGAGTATTCCTTCAAAAGTACAGTAACGTTCGATACGCCAACTTCAGAATTTGATAGGTTTGGTGGACACCTAGAACACGTGGTACTGCATTGCAATTCTCTCACACTTTCAAATATGAAGTACTTAGTAAGTGATGTCGACCAACCAGTTGAGACAAAGATTATTTCAATGATCATAGCATCTATTGCCGTTGGCTGTCCAGACACTGCCGGGTTTCTAAGCCGTTTATTGGTTGACAGGAAACAAAACTTTTCACGTATTATTGAAGGCCCGCAAGAAAACACTACTGATCCATGCGACGAACACAAAGCTGAAAAAATTAAGATGTCTCTTAGTTTCAGTCAAAGGTACAAGACACTGTACGAATTACTGTCACCAGCCCTATTTCTTTCCCTAAAATGTGATAACCTTGGACAGAAAGAATTTAAAAGTCTTTTATATGATTTTAAGCAGAATAACGCTTCATACGTTATCAATAGCACTTACAATGTAACAACTATCGCGAGCACCTTCAGTCAGGATTCAAGATATAAAAGTGGTCGTATCATGAATTACCTTAAGGAACGTAAATTTCAAATGTTAAATGCAGAAAAACTAGTGTACGAAATGGTTGCAATCAACGAAGCATACAGAAGAGAAAAAAGAGAAACTGGTATCAATAATATTTACAAGTATTTTAAAGTAAGCAGAAATTGCGCTATTTCACGCCCTCTAGGCGTTTTATTGAACCCGATTTCAAAAGATGACTGCCTTCAGCTTTGCTTAGAAGAAGAAGGTTGTAAATCAGTTGGATATATGAAAGACAACTCACAGACCTGCCATATGAATTCTGAAAACAGAAAAGATGTTGGCAAATTTTTCTCTTGTGGAAAAGTGGATACAGCGTCATGGGATTATTATGAAAAGATCAAGGCCATTGATTACTTTTTAATTTCTAGTAAGATGACTGCAAAGGTACTGGCAGTCAGACCAGACTATTCGGTCGTTTTGAAGACGTATACTGGAGACGACAACCAACTGTGGTATTGGGACAATGGAGCTATTCGTTCGAAAAAACATCATCATACATTTTTACAGTTGAACGTGTCTGAGTATGAAAGATCTGGCTGGGGTAAGGTTTATATATCATCAAGACGAAGTGGTAACAATTTTCTATGGAATTTCGAAAACAACCAGTTAACATCTCAGTACAAAAATTTGAAGTTAGATGTAAAATATAGTCACACGTATGACGGAGCACTTGTTGGCGTTTACCCAGGAACTGGGTATATGAATCAAAAATGGAGTCTTAGTTGGGAAAGATTTTATTTCATTATCACAAGCAGACATTCCGGCAAAGTTCTGGATGCAAGTCTTGACGAAAGTAGCACTGGTAAAGTTATCTTATGGTCATATACTGGCAAGGATAACCAATTATGGTTTTGGGACGATGACAATATTAGATGCAAACAATTTCCGGAAAAAGTACTTGATCTCCATATGGCAAATTATGAAGCAAACAACTGGGGCAATGTTTACCTACATCCTTACAATACGGGTAACAATCAACGATGGAAAGCTGAAGATGACCAGATAATTTCAAGTTACAAAAACTTACGCTTAGATGTTAAGCAAAGCAGTACTTCTGATAGAGCGCTGGTAGGAGGATACAGAAATCACGGAGGAGTAAATCAAAGATGGACCCTTTCATCTTCAAGGCCATACTTTTTTATATTAAACAAAGAGTCTGGAAAAGTAATGGATGCTGCAAGTCCAGCATCAATTGAACTATGGCACTACACTAACAGTGATCAGCAGTTATGGTTCTGGGATGGTGACGTAATACGAAACAAAAAGTATGCTAACAAAGTAATTGACCTTCATATGTCAGACTATAACAAATATCGGTGGGGGAAAATTTTTCTGCACCCATTTAACGGCGGACAGAATCAAAAATGGAACTTTGAGAATAACTATCTTTCATCTGAATTTAAACATCTAAGTGTTGAAGTAAAGGATGGGAGCCAAGCAGATGGATCTCAAATAGGTGCAAAGAATGGAAAATACCAAAAGTGGAGTTTACAACGAGAACATGATTTCTTCACGCTGTCAAGCAGAATGCATGCTAAAGTCTTAGATGCACCCTCTGACAATAAGGTGCTCATGTGGTCATTTCATGGATTAGATAATCAATTGTGGTTCATGGACGAAAAAAGCATTAGATCAAAGAAATACCCAAACAAGGTCCTTGACCTGCATATGGAAAACTACAAAAAGAGTGGGTTTGGTGATGTTTTTCTTCATCCTTTTCATGGAGGACCGAATCAGAGATGGAATCTTGAAGGGGATAATATCATTTCTGATTACCAAGGCTTGCGTTTAGACATAAAACAAAGTAATTATGACGATGGAGCGCTGGTAGGTGGATACGGAAGCACTAGTAATATTAATCAGAAATGGAGCATGAATCCAAAAGAAAGGATTTACTTCATAGTAAAAGGAAAGGCAAGTGGAAACGTTTTAGACGCCGCAACCCATACAAAGGTTCATGTTTGGCCCTATAATGGAAAGGATAACCAGTTATGGTTTTGGGATGGAAACTGTATCAGATCCAAACAACATCCAAATAAAGTCCTAGATTTACGTATGACTGATTATGAGAGGGAAGGATGGGGGAAAATTTTTCTACACGTTTACAATGCTGGACCAAATCAGCGTTGGAACATTGATGATGAATTTATTATTTCAAAATATCGCCAACTTAGAATGGATGTATTTGGTGGTCGTACAAGTAAACGTTCATTAGTTGGTGGCTTTCCGTACACCGGAAATGACAATCAAAAATGGATCTTTACTGTGTCATCATCAAGCTGTTTAGATGAGACAGAATCAGACATATACAATGTTGTTCAGTATATTCCATTTGTCGGAACTGTTTGGGATATATTTTCGTCCATTGGTTATGCTAGTGCTGGATGTACAAGTGTTGCACAAGAAAGAGCCGTATCTTTTGCAATAGGGGCTGCTTTGGATGTTACAACAGCAGCAGCAGCAGCATTGACGGGGGGTACTGCTGCAGGTGCACTAACTGCGGCGAAAACGGGTATCAGAGTCGGTGTGAAGATTGGACTGAAGCAAGGACTGAAGGCAGCGGTTTTTGTAACTAAACAATCTATTAAGAACGTTTTCAAAAAGGTAGCCAAGCAAGGATTCAAGACTGCTGTAAAGACAGGCATAAAAAAAAGTGGAAAATTAGTGATCAGAGAACTAATTGCCGATCCTGCATTATTTCTGAAAAACGTAGGAATATTAAGCAAGAAAATGTTTCTCCATCCGAGGAGGACATTAAAAGGAATATGGAAAACAGCGGGTCGTAATATTGATGATCTGAAACGTCTCATGAAGCGTTTAAGATGTAAACGTGGTCATGTTAGCAGTTGCACAAGGCGTGCACAAGCCGAACTTCACAGTACAGAAAACCACGAAAATATGTTCAAATCACTTGCTGATGAGAAAGCTGTATCAGAACGTGTGGGGCGTAGTGCGCAGAGATTTATGGCAAAAGAATCCGGATCATTTGAAGCAAAATTTTCAAGCGCTCCATTTAGCGTTAAGCAAAAATTTAACGCTGCTGATTCTGAAAGTGGTAAAGCTGAATTATGGGCGGTTTACCGATACACAATAAATCCACGCCGTATCAACAGCTTTTTAGGACATATTGTAAAAAGACAGCCTTTGTTTAGACCAAGTGATCCATTTACTAAAGAAAAAGGTGCTTGGGATTCTGTAGACGAGGTTCTTGATCAGGCTGATTTAATTCAGAGTTACCTGAAGAAAAATCCTGTAAAAGAAGAGATAAAAGCTTACAGATGGGAGCAAGCTATTGAAAAATATAGAGACGGTTCAGTTTATGAAACATACACTTTTAAGTCTACAACAACACGAACTGAGAGGTTTAAAGACAGCGGCATAGATCTGACAAATGAACAAAAGTACCCAATTGAAATGGAATTCAAGTTGAAGAAATCGGGAACAAAAATAGCCGACTTGTCCGGTTATCCGAACCAGGAAGAATACTTGATTCCGATTGGAACGCAATTCAACGTGACGGTGGAAACGCCTAAACCTGGATCAACGGTTGAACGAGTCACGTTAACAGAAATCGTTTAAATATTAACTGTGTTGTATAACTTTTTATAGCAAACAAAAACTACAGCTTACATAATCAGCCACTTCGTGATCTTCGTGATCGTAAAACCTGTTTTCCATTCTGTCAAATTTCATGTCTGAATTTGAAAACTAAATAATAATATTTACATATGCACATTGACACCCTGTTTGATTCAGTTGTTTCTGTGGCTCCTTTTTCTAATTCTCTAAAGTGTTATGAAAAGTTTCAAAACTGACACAACTACGACTCTTCGGAGCGCAGGAATGGCCCATTAAACAGTTACAGGTAGAAACGTGGCTGGAGTTGAAAATGCTTTGATACAACCCTTTCTGCTTTATTATGTAAATCACGTTTTTCTTATGCTAACTGGTATTTTTGAAGCAAAATTTCCATAAGAAAACGAAGGAGGTTTGAATAAAAACCAGGTGAAGATAAGTCTCACGTTCATTCAAACGCTAGGATACTATGCCCAAAACTGTATAATGGTCTGTTGCGATTATTTGATTCTTAAATTGGAAATTGTGGCATTTACAACTTTCTCTTTATCTTGTTGAATGAGCTATAAAAGAAAAGTGTAGTTTAACCCTCGGACGTAAAAGAGGGGGTGGTTGCCACCCCCTCTGAGTTATTTTAATTTTTTTTCCTAGACGATAAAACATCAGCACCTGACGTTTTCAGTAGCTGTTTGTTTATCCCTCGTGCGCATTTTGAGACAAGTTTAGTGATGGTCAATTACTATGTTTACGAGATATGACGTCATAAGTAGCAGGTGGTCTAGCCATTTTTGAGTGGAAATGTATGTTTTTCTCAACTTTTTTCAGCAATAAAATTAAAACTTGTGGGTGAAGTGATACAAAGTGATTATTTATGTGTTATTTTACATATGAAGCACACAAAAATTACCATTTATCGCGATTTTAACCTGATTTCTAATTCTTGGTAAAATCCAAGATGGTGACCATTGTCGGTGACGTCACAGGCCTCCAGCAGCGCTACCATCCATAAAATATACCTCATCTTGTAGAGCAGATCAAAGGTTTTCCACTAAAGGCAAAAAAATCGTTTCGAAATACTGCAACATATTAAAGACTCTTAGGAGGGGTTCCATCAACCTCCCCCCCCCCCATCCCCTTGTACCACGGTGGGAATATGGATTTGTGTGTGCGTCCGAGGGTTAAGAACTTTCACTGGATCACAAGTACCCATGACCACTATTGACAACCATGCAATTTGCAAACAGAGAAATAGATTCGTGCATTAGGACTTACAGGCACGCTTCTTAAAGGTTTCAAATCTATTACCGGCAAGCCAACCTCTAGCTTTTGGCTCTGTTCGTTAGCTGTTTTCCTGATTCAGTCCTTTGTTGACCAGAATTCCTTCTCTTATATCCATCTTGCCTGAGCTTACAAACTTAAACAAGAAACAGATCACTAACATAGCTGTAATAATCACAAGTGCATGACCGTTCGCCACAGGTTTTTTGTTTTTCATTAAAGACAAACCTAGTCAACAACATCCAGCAGTTCACTGTTGTTTTCATATGTCAGGAAAATCTCAGACGATCGGGGATTTTACTTTTTGTAGTCCATCCCAGATTTTGCCGATATATCGGATAATCGCCAAGAAGTCTGTCCCAAATTCTCCCGATTATGAATTTGGCGGGAAATGGAAAGTGCGCCAAAAATTGAAACTTGAACACAAATGTAACAGCATTACAGCAACATGGATGCACAGGAGCTTATGCTGCGTCGTTCTCAATACATCTGTGTTCTTGCACTAGTCAATGCAAGGTTTTCCATTCTGAAAAAAAAAAAACAGAAGCCAACCAAACGAAGAACGAAGAGGTTTTGGATCAGAGAATATTTGAAAAAACGGGAGGGAAGAGCACCATTTCCGTATTTTCGGGAGACGCCATGTTTATTTTTGATAGGGGGACTGGAGCCCAACAATTTAGGGGAAATAGTAATGAGCGAAACCCTTCGCCGACGTCCCCGACGGTACAAATTTAAGTTTTTATTTGTCGGGAATGGTCGCCGACCATCGCAGAAATCTGGGACGCGTCGGGAAAATAGAAATGCTCCCGATTCTCCAGAGTTGTCCCCCGCCCATCCCAGACGATTGGGGATATCTACGATTTCGAGTTTTCATTAGTCGGCAAAATCTGGAACAGTTGGGAAACAGTAAAATCCCCGATCGTCTGGGATTTTCCCGACCAGGCTTTAAGATTAGAAAATGACAATACTTATCAAGTTATAGCCAAATATGCCCATCTAATGTTTCAAAAAACAAAACAGATCTTGAACCAAAAGATTAGTTGATTAACTTATATTATTATTCATTCAAAACATTTCGCCAATTCTGATTGGCTAAAAGCACACGCATAATTCACCATAACCAGTTAAAGATGACCAAATTTGGAAGAATATTGTGTTTAACGAGGAAGTGACGTCAAAAATGCAGCCCGCTACAGGTTAAGGCACCGTTAACCGAGAAGACCTGGGGACGAGGTTGAGTTGTTTTGGTTGTGAAAAAAAAAATGGCGGACATTTCGCCCGTTTCAAGAGTAAGAACTACAGCTGGAACTCGACGAAATAATTGCTAAAAACATGGCAAAAACAGCAAGAAGACAACTCGGAGGGTGACATCTGCTATTTGGAGAATATTTGCGGAGCTGGACAAACCTAAAGATACACTATCGAAGGTGAACTTAACATCGATCTAGGTAAGCATGTTTTAGCTATGTTTTTAAACTAGGAAATATTTTGAATGAATAATAAAACAATTAATGAATTCGGCTTTCGTAGGATATGAAGAATGAAGCAGATCTCGGAGGGTGTTATCCGCCGAGGCCGAAGACCGAGGTGGATAATACCCTCCGAGATCTGCTTAATTCTTCGTATCCTACGAAAGCCGAATTCATTAATTGCTAAGTATATTTATTATCGTAATAGCGCATACCGTATAATTTTGTGGTTTCTGTTCATGTTTTAGACAATTTGTTCTGGTAATATGTATACTATACTATTGCTGGTTTTCAGTGTCACGCCATCCAAAATAGATCAAAATAAAAATCAAAACCATTCGACAGATAAAGTCCAGAATCTGGGAAATGAAAGGAGTTAAATATACAT